TATATATACTCTCTCTCTCTCTCTCTCTCTCTCTCTCTCTCTCTCTCTCTCTCTCTCTCTCTCTCTCTCCCACCGATCGAGTATATCGCTTCAATTATCTAACCACGCGCTCTTTCGTGTGTGAAAAATTAATTGTTTCAGCATAATCGCGCGCGTATATTTTTCCTTCTTTTTTTCTTTTTTTTTATTTCTCATGTTGATCGGCGAAAGATATATGATGTTTGCATTTCGTAGAGCCTCTCGTTTCTTATGGATCGCAATTTTGTTCGTGGGCAGATTTATGCGAGCGATTGTCCGCGTGATATATAGCGTGTGTTGCACTGGAATAAGTCTTTCAAACTTGAACTCGGTAGTAGCAGGCCTTTTTTTGTATGTTCAACAAAGTAATTGTTGAACATAAAAAGGAGATTTTTATGTTCAACAATTACTTTGTTGCTATTGCTTATAAAAATTTTCTGTAATGGTGGATATGACGCATATACATATATTTCACATAATTCAACAGTATTTTTGCATACGAAGGTCAAATAGAAGATTGAGTGGTAGCTAAAATGGAAAATAAAATTGTCGATGTCGTAATATGAAGTTTTACAACTCGTTGTACTTTTATTTAAATATCGAATACAACTCGTTTTGCGAAAACGTTGCATACAATGATAATACTTAAAAGCGGCTTGATAAAGATAAGCAATAGCACGTAATTCTTTTGCATTTATTATAGAAGCATTGTGATAATGAAAGAAATACGATGTCTTAACAATGAAACAGCAATATGCGATGGCTAAAACGTATATATCGCGTAATATATCGCGATGCATGGTATATTTTTATTGTAAACACGTAGAGAATATTTCATGTTATGACAAGTTTCCTTTCGAAACAGGCCGAATTATTTCGTAGAATTTTTCCGATGCTTCATGACTTCGTCATATCGAACATGTGTGAATATTAATAAAAATCATAAGAGTACAACATGCGAGAAGAAAACATTTCCATCCCTTGAATTTTATTACGATATATTTACAACTTCTCGTTGTAATTAAAATCTTGCTATGATCTCTATAAATTCACTGCAACTTGAAACTACGATTTTTTCAACAATAAATAATTTTTGTTAAGATTTATATTGACCGATTTATGAAATAGATGTATGAAGAATTTGTTTTTTTTTGTTTTTTTTCATATAATGTAAAAAGCACAAAATAAATAAACAATGGCAGTTTTATTATTTTATATTTATATTTTTCGTATTTCACAAACTTTTTTGTTTCGTGTATTAAAATTTATAATAATTTGCAATTAAAATATTTGATGAAATAACGAAAAGATAACGATAAAGAGATTATATGTTAAAAAAATTTGAAATTTAATATTGCTAAAACATTCTTCACGAAGATTCAATATCTCTAGAAGATTCAACATCTTGTGGAACCTTTATTATAACGGTCTAGCCATGGGCACTTTTGCATTTGCATACCAAAGAGAGGGAGAGAAAACCAGATTTATGTTCCAGAGAAGTGTTTCTAGCGCAACAAACATAACAAGTTTGAAATTTGCAAAAATTTAATATATTCGCTGTCGAATTGACTAATATCAATACGTAAATACAATGTAACTAACTTTTATAATAAAACTAATTTATTCCCCATCGATAAATACATATTAATGAAACAAAACGCTAGAAAAAGATTATTTTCTAAATTAGATAAATGTTTTGATTATTAATTGTGAAATGAATTATAAATAGAAAACAAAAAAGCAAATTTCAAGCAAATAATTTTTATTAAAAATCCAAGAAGAAATGTTCCATTTAACAAAATATAAAATATAAAATATACTTTAATCGGATACGAATTACCTCATTTATTGAATCATCAGCATTTAACATGACGTACATACAGATTTGTAATGATGACAAAACACTGATTAAATGGATGTCAAGGCAGAATTAAGTCCGATACTTATGCCGATAGGTGTAATAGTTGACCTGCCATCATAAAAGATATATTAATAATCAAAAGCACAAGATGTCTACGTTTGCTATATTTACATGATAATTGTGTGCCCTCTCTAATAATAAAAGCATAAAAAATGTCAATAAATTAGAATATGACGAAATTCTTCTGCGTTTTAAGAATTTGAACATTTTGTAAAACGTTGTTAATATTACATTTGCTAAATCTTTATAACGTGTTTTATGACTTTTTTAATATTTTTGACGTCTCTGCGAATATTTTTTTATGTATATGTTTGTAATTATTTCTAGAATTTCTTCTTGTAATTTTTGACGATGATTACTTTGTATTACTTGTCATTTAAAGTTGTCCTTGGCTCTTTTCTGTCACGTCACAAACGACGTTACGCTTGGCAGCGTAATGATGATATTATTCTTTCTTATTATGTAATATAAATGTGTACAAGGCGTAACGAGCTATAAATGGGTCGCGAGTTTCTTTTATGGTTCGTTTCACACTTGACCCACGGAGTCGAAGAGACTTCCAGATGGTCTCTTTACGGTTATGAATTATTATTACGAAATGTCATTGCTTTCGATTTTCCGTACCGTCCATTCTCAAGTAAAAATACCGAATTACTTTTATATAAACTAGGACTGATACGCTGTTGTTATTAAAAACATGATTCGTGAAATTCTAAATTTAACTTTGTTGTTAAAAAAAGTGAGACAAACTTTTGATCGCGTCGTTATGTGGCATTTTTTTCAGATTGTAATTACGTTTGAATTTTTCGATAGCTCAATTTGGCTTGCAAAACAGCCGATCGATAGGTTATATAAATAATAAGCAAACGCGCGAGTTATTACGTTAGCTCCCGTGCACTTTTTATCTGGTTCTTGACTGAAAGCAACATCACGATTATCTCAACAACCGGCTATACCGTGATTTTCATGATGCAATGTGTAAATAAATTTGCAGGTTGACAGGTAGGCTGTAATTTCTCGATGATTTTCCGTAAAAATACGTATTCAAACTTTAATTTATGCGCTGATGACAGGAACGATTGAAAAAAAGATCATCGTGCTTGCAAAAAAAAACATTCTCGATAATTAGGCACCGGTTTTCATTTAACGAGCTCTAATAGCAGAGTGTATGACCCTCGCATTGATAAAGTCTTATATGAAAGGTATCGACGTGTAGTCACACGGGTGTGATCTGCATACACGTAACAAAAATTACAGCAAATAGCGGAAATTATTGTATATACATACATGGTTGTCGTAATAATTATCATTTAATAAGAAAACCAGAAATTTTATATGATCGCCGCAACTTGTTATTGATAAAAAATTAAAAGCACTTACATTTTTACAAGCCTTATGACAATATCTACAATTATCATGTTGCAGTTTACAAAATCAATACTACTCATTACTACGGAAATACCGTAGTTGTAAAAATGAAAGAGTACACAAAAATAAAAATATAGAAGCGTGTTATAATCGCGAGTATTCCGACCGACCAAAAGTTTAAGAGTAAGATGTATTGAAAATTGGTTGGAGTGCGTCGAAGACATGCCATCTTAATTGATGGTCATACAACATTATCGTTATGCGTCGGCAACGGCAACAGCGGCAACGGCAACAGCAGCTGTTTGCGGCAAGTGCAATAAATTGCATGTTAATATTGGAGTTGACGAGACGACTTGGTTTAATCCCGATTAATCGATCGCCGACGTAGATCAATTCGGACGATGACATTATTACGGTACGTTTGTTATTGAGCGATCAAATCGAAGCGACGTGACGTGATTTTCTCTCATGTGTTTCAGTGGGCATGTCGGTTCTGATGTTCTTCCTGTTCGGCAAACCTTACAAACGCGGCTTCTTCTGCAACGATGAGTCACTCTATCACCCGTATCACGGATCCACGGTTACTAGCGCTATGCTGTACGTCACCGGCCTTTTCCTTCCTATATGCACGGTGAGTCACCTTACGTTTACAGTTGTGATTTACGCACGCCGCCTTATAAGACACGTGACAAAAATTTTATCCTCTTCTCATCGCGGACCTTTCACATTTATTCTCGTGCATTTACTCACTTACGTACGACATAGAAAAATCCATAATTGAGATATATAGCTGTCTCTTAGCAAGTTAATGTAATGTTAGATGTTCCTCAATGTAAAAATATTATTTTAATTTTCAACAAGGATTGGTGTAATCTTTTTTCTCAAGTACATATTCCTCGAGGAAATTATACATTTTTAATAGATACTTATAGATTAGGAATTATATTTGCATTTCTCTGTTGCATTTGTTTGGCAATAATTGAATATATTATTTATATATATATATATATATATATATATATATATATATATATATATATACAAAACATCATGTGATCGTTATTTTTTATTGGATGAGATTTTAACGTTGTTAAAAAATAAATTATCTTACCCATCTAACCCTATACACATGTATCGTATAGATTTAAAAGTTAGAGACTTCTCTCTCGATTCACATCGGACGAGAATAAAAGTAGGTTTAAAAACCTACTGTGTCGCAGCTTTATACAATTCCGTGGTACTTTGAGTTTGCTTGTGACGCTATGACGCAATGGCAGATGCGATCGCGAACGATTTGAAGGAGCTGTCGCGTGCCGCTTTAGAAACTCTTTCTCATCCTGCCAAGAAAAGAGATGACAGAAAGATACCGTCTAAGAATACGAGAGAAACACGAGAGCGGTGGCGAGGCTCGCGCCTCGCTGCCTGCACGTGTAAATAGGCTGGAGGGAAGTGAGTGCACTCGTTGAGTTTTCGATGCTCGTGGGAATCAATTTACGGTATCTGGAAGTAGTGCACACAACTCGGAACACGTGTATCACCATCCGAGTATTTTTACCGAGCCCTCAGGGAACATAAAAAGAAAGAAAGCGAAAGAAACGGAAACTATCCTTTTCGGATGTGAATCCTCTATTTGCATCCTCGAAAAGTGCGCTTTGCCGAATAGGCACGAAGCAAAGGATTCGTCGTTAAAGGCAACGAAACGTGTTTACGATTTGCTACTCGTTTGTGAATGATTTTTCTTTCCTCGCGATGTAATATGCTTCTTTGCCACGTGACTTGGTTTATGAGGGCGATCGGCACGTTTCTATGGATGGTTTGCAGCTATTTATAAATTTCGCGTATTTTCTCATGCTCGAATGTTTAGAAATCTGTGCCAGTCAACTTCAAAGAATATGTCGAATTCCCATCGCTTTATGTATTTCTGTTCTAATATTGGATTCTATTCCATTATTCCAAAATTAACTTTCACGTGTTTTAAAAATAGAAATAAAAGACACGCTTTTTCTAGTTTAATTTTGTTATCTTCGAAATACTCGATGTTACGCAAATTTTTTATCTTTTTTCGTAAACTAAAAATTCTTTCAATTTTGTTTTCATTTCAAAGAATAGATGCGTACCACTTTGCCACGAAAAGTATAAATGCAATCCTGTTTTTTCTTCAGGCGAAAGCGAAGAAAGCTATCGCCGTAATCGGATTCACGTGAGATAAAAGGCGTCATTTTCGGTTTTCTCCGTTTTTACCGATGTTTCTCATTTCGGTGTGGCCCACGAAAGACTCGCCGTTCCTCAGACATCAGATACTTGCCGCGCTCTTCTGCTTTCTTCTCAACCGTTGCGTGAAGTTCAAATTAACGCTGTCACCGCAGGCGAATAATTTCGTGCGTCGTGCATAATTCAAAACACATGAAATTGTGTGCGTACACGCGTATGTGTACGAGAAATAAAGCAAGACGTGAACAAAAGAGAAAGAGCAAAAGAGAAACAGAATAACGTTAGCTTCATCAAAAGATGATCGCGTTACAAAGGGATTCTATTATAATGTAATGGAAAAGATTAAAGGGACCGTAATTCTCATCATGATGAATCGCATATATAGTAACGTGAATTATACGTTAATAATATACGAAGTTATTTTATCGAATGGAATGAACTTGAGTAAGAAACCTGGAGAGAGAGAGAGAGAGAGAGAGAGAGAGAGAGAGAGAGAGAGAGAGAGAGAGAGAGAGAGAGAGATGAAATTAATTTTCGTTTTTTGATGTTCAATTTTTCATCTTTACTTTAGTTTTACAATTTGTGATTAATATTAGCCTGAAAGAAAAACATTTTTATTGCAATTTGTAATTTGATATTAATCTAAAAAGAGAAAAAGGGGCAAAATGTTCATGTTCCAAATTTAAAAATTGTTCATAATTATTTTGTACATAAAAGAATTAATAATAATTATGAAATTAATAATGTACATAAGATGGTATGTACGATGAAATTGATGTATCTAAAGTTAATGGAAAAAAATTGTATCGTTTTATAATCTTGTGATTTTTCTCGCTTTGCTATTCTCAGCTATTAGATAATTACTTAATAGCTGAGAAATAATCTTTTATTTTTCATAATTTGACACAAGAGCACGTCTATAATTTGTTTCGTTCGCGCACTTCATAAGCGTGCCGTTTTCTCGCGTGGCCATCATAAATCTGGCAAATATAATTAAACTAAAATGAACGTTAAGCAGCGTCTATTTAAGTAATGGCTTTGCCACACCGTGCGTGTTTTTCGTTTTCCCAAGCGATACAGTCACGCATCTTTAAATTACACGGCGCAATTAAAGATGAAAGAGGATGCTTTTAAGAGGACAATCGTCTTTCTCTTCGTTAAGCGAGCGTATTTTATGCCGCGGGAAATAGCAAGCGATTACATTGTATTGTTAATCCAACGCAATAAATCGCGCATCCGCGCGTGCGTGATAAATCGCCGCGATCAAAGCCGAGATAAATCTCAAACCCTTTTACTTCACGTTCGTAAGATTATCTTACGACATTACGAAACCTGTGTATAAAATTCCTCAGATGGAAAAAGTCTTTGAGGAAAGAATTCATCTGTCTGTCGGAGACAAAAGAAAACTGTGATTCTACAAAAGCGCAAGCAATTTTAAGAACTACTGAGTGGAAAACATTTGCTTTAAAAAAAAATGAGATTAACGGCACAATTTGATCTTACTGAAATAGAGAAATATATAAATATATAAATATATAAATATATATACATTTTTATAAATTAAAAAGTTTGATTCAAATCTCGTCAAATACTTTGATCTATATAATGATAGTTTTTGACTGTATTATTTTTAAAATAATAATGGTTTTGGATATTCAAGAATCAATATTGGATCGGAATGGTACATTGATTGCTTTTACGCAGTCATTGATCGTTCCATGGAAATGTAACCGGCCATTATATTGTCTGGCTGTATAAATCTTGCCATGAGA